GAATTGAATACCAACGGTGCCGTCGCTACAAAACGCTCCCCAGACCATCAGTGAGAAGCCGCCGAAATTCCTTCGGTACATAAGTGATGGTTCTCCGAAGATCGCGCCAATACGAGTGGTCTCCATCTGACCCATATCCGTTGAATTTTTTCTCATCAGAAAAACCTGAAAAAAGACAAAGATAAAAACCTCAAATTTCTCATAATGCTTAGCAAGTTTCAAAAACGCACCTTTGTCCAATCTCTGTTCATCTTATTCCCAGCGAAGAAGAGCCGTTTCTCTCGATGAATCTGTAGTAGCCGTGTTAGCAGACTTCATCTTCTGGGAAGCTATGTGGTACGACGACTTCAGGACGCGGGCAACCAAAATCCCACAATCTGCAGCTAACTCCCTCGCAGTTCTCGTAGAATTTGAAGCCACATTGATCAACCGACGCTTGTTCGATTGGTGGTTGCTGATTGCATTTGTTGGTTGCTTCTTTACGACTCTCGCAAGTGTGCTCTTAGGGATGTTGACTTCTCTAGAAAATTGAAGATCACTTTTTCCAAGGTGAAGTAACGCGCCAATGGCTGCTTTCATAGTCCGCCGGACGGCCGGCGTGCCGGCGTGCCAGCCGAGGTAGTGCTAGGGGGGGGGGGGGGGAGGCAGACGGTCGGTCGACGTCGAGCCGCGTATACCTGCGCATGCTTGTAAAACAAACATGTAAGCACGTGCAACCTCCGGATACAGGGAAGAGTCGAATAAATCAATTACCTCAAGTCGTCCACTCCATTGTGCGCCGCCAAATAATCAATTTGCCCCGCCAGCATTTGCCAAAGGCACTTCATTTATCAATTATCGCGCCAGAGTTATTTGACCTCCTCTCACACAACATATCCGCGGCAGAAGCATTAGAAGTTTCGGCTCCTCTCAAAAATCAGGTTTTCTATAGGGTGCAATCTATTGTGCACCGCAGTGTATGTACAAATCACGAATGACTGTTTGTCTATTCATCTGTTTCTAAGCATCTTATATGACGCGTTCTGGAAATGGAACTGGAACAGCTGAGCCAGGTTGTAACAAGTGGGGAATCAGCTGAACTACTTGGGAACATATTTCAAAATGCTGCTATCTCTGAGCTTCATTCCAACTTGTTTTTCATGTGTATTTTCGAAGCTCTTGATACTCCACTTTATTGGTGAACTCGTGAACTCACTATGTCGTGAAGAACTCCCAGCTTCCTATTCGACTTGTTTTCCGACCTCCCCCTACACTGAAGGGTCTCCTGACATCTACTCGAATCTACGAAAAACGGTGCCGCGAGCAGTCTTGTCGCTACTGTACATCTGAAAAGATCTGCGAGCTTCAAGGCACTGTCTACTTGATTCAATGCGGAGAATGTGGAGAGAAGTACGTGGGGGAGACCGCAAACCCTTGAAGATCCGTCTGGGCGAACATAGAAGAGCGTTGGCTAATCCCGCTGCCTACCCACACAGCAGCTTTTGCACCGTATACTCAGGCATGAGAAAGAGAACGCTCCATCTTTCGATGTGAGAGTTTTACATAGATATTTGGTACGGCCTCTGAAAAGGAAATCATGGAGGCACGGGAAATATACCGTATACGACCGGAAATCAACGCAAAGGAGGAGATGCGTGACCTGCTGAGACTGACTGAATGATAACGCTCCGTCGCCTCAGGAGAAGAGCGGTCTCATTTTTCTTTCAAGTTACCCGCCAATAGGTCCACTACCCTCCCCTCTTCCCCCAACATTTCCGGTTGGTTTGATAGGATCCGATGTGTTCTATGTAGTAACTGATTGTTGAATGGTCGTTTGCAACTATGTATTGTAAAGTTAAGGTCTGAAGAAGGCATTATATGCCGAAAGCTAACCAATAAAGTGGAGTATCAAGAGCTTCGAAAATACACATGAAAAACTACTTGGGAACACCGAAACTGGGTTTCACCAACGAGGGGTGGTACGTGCGCAAAAATTGCTCCCTTGGAGCTAGAGCGCTCGAAATCGAGAAATCGGAAGACGAGGCTGCAGGATGAGGACACTAATTACAGGTGGTGAGCATAGACTACGCATACGGTGGGTGGGCATGCGCGAAAATTATTAATTTGGGCATAGGGTGTTCAACTTTTGTAGGGATGCGGGCCTACTGAAGCAGAGCTCGCATGAAAACAGTTAATGTTGACCAGAAACGTTCAAATTTTTTAGGGACAGGCGACACGATGCACACTAGGGACAGCTGTGGACACCGCCCGCTGGCGGAACGTGCGAGAAAGTAGCTAATGCGGATTTGAACCCTCAAATTTGGTAGGGATACAGGCGGCACGTGCGCGCGCCGCCTACTGGGGCAAGGCGTGCACGAAAATAGTAATTTAGACCAGGGCGTTCGAATCACCTTCTGTACCAACCGAAACTACTAGTAAAATCAATATTAAAGTCCAAATCGATTTCTGTACTGGCCAGAACTACGAGGGAATCCAAACACTGAATGATAAGTTCGGAAGGACTTACAACATCAAGACACACCGTCCCACCGTAGTTATTTACGGACACGCCTGGGAGTGTGACAGCGTGCTGTGTAATTGGGAGCAGACAATATTGAAAAACTACAGCTGCACAGCATAAGGAATGACAAAAAGAAACTTTCGCCTCACCTGTTGCCTTGCGTGTATGATGTTGACTCTGAATGCATCGACAGCATTTCGCCTGTAAAAAGATGCACAGCTCATGTCTAGTTCCTAAGCAGTTCACCAGTAATAAAAAAGAAAACTTGAACTTAGCGTAGTTTCCCCACTTTCAAGATCGTTTTACGTAACAACAGCAGGACCGTCTATAATACAAACTAAGACGTGCTCAGAAAAGAAAGATGCTGACTTCGAATGGTTAGATGTTTCCGAAAATAGAGAGGCCAGACATGTCCTAAAATGGTGGAGCCGAAATGTGGAGTCGACAATTCCTTCCAGATTTGACAGCGGCATTCTCATTCAGAAACGTCCTAAGCAAAAGAGAAAGAAAGTTAGAAGAAAACCATCCATCTATCCAAATGGCGCGCAGTTCCAGGCTATAATGAGGAAGATTCGGGTGTCTAGTAAAAATACACGGTATTCGCCGCAAATTCGCTGCAGCTTGCCATAGAAATTTGGGTAGAAATCTCACAACTCACACATCTAAACCCAATCCCACCATACCCTACAGTGCCCCCAAATTGCATGTCTATATCCAGACAAAGTTTTGCGCTACCGTAATCCTACTGAAAACAGGAATCCTACTATGGTTCCTCCCTATGAGCAGGCCTCCGTCTGTCTCTCTGTTTAACTGCCACAAAATTCAACATTACCTGAAATGTACCTGGAAAGGCCGGGTCAACTTCGAGATGGGCTGGGCGTAGGTTATAATTAGAAAGCAAATGTGAGCTTTGGAAGCTTTACGTACAAGGAACGTGACATGCACCTGAATGGGCGACGCCATAAATGAAACTTGCTAAATTGATTTCATAACAGCCCAGACGTCGGGAAAACATGAGCAAAGGTGGACATGGGTTAACAAGTGAAGTGAAGGGGACCCTCCTGCGGAGAGAGGAGCAATCTAACGGTGAGAGACATTTTTCTTGCTATATATTAACTACAGATAGAACTTTGTCTTTTTGTGAATTTCACATCGTCCTATAATGCACCTTTCCAAAACTGGTCTAGAATAGCTAAGTCAGGATGGAGCAAGTGAGAAATGAGTCAAGCTACAGTACCGTTCAAAACGAAATCACCTTGAAGCTTTTTTGCCATAACTCATTTCGAACTCAATGTTTCCGACTGATTTCTTGATAGGTTGTCAACAGTAATGATTTTCAACGTCTCCATCAGAGAACTCGCGAAACCCCTTTTCATTTCGTTTGAAAGGTCACTTTTTACATTTTTTCTGAACAGGTCAAAATAACATCAGTTTCAATAACTTGAAATAAATCACTTGACTTAAATGCTATAACCATGAGATTGAAACCTAAACAACTACGATCCTAATACTTTGTAGCGAAGCTGTTGGCATCGACGACGGCTTGGCATCTGCGGGGCATTGATTCGACCAGCTTGTCGAGCAGGCACTTATCGATTTTCTTCCATTCTTCTTCAATTTGGCCAAGCTCTTGGGCAGCATTTCTGACTGTTTCACCACCTATCCTTTTCTTGAGTTCCTGCCACGAGATCTCAATGATGTTCAGGTCAGGTGACTAGGCGGGTTCGAGACATCGACTTTTCCGGTGAGCCAGCCAGTCACGCCCCTTTCTAGATCTGTTTGGGATGGTTATCCTGCTGGAAAGTAAGTTTGCTGCCATGTACAGGACGGGCGAAAGGTAGCGTGCATTTCTGCAAAATGACTGCGTACTTGTGGTGATCCATAGTGGTGGGATTATAGTGCAGAGACCCTATGCCTTGACTCGGGAAACATCCCCAAAGCAATACTGAAGCGACACCATGCCTGAGAGCTGCCAATAGGTACTTGGGGTCGAAAATCGAATTTAAAGGTCGTTTACAAACGAAATCCCATCTGTACCAAGCGAAACAATCTTTGATTAGTAGCTCTAGACGACTTCGCGCCATTGGTCGAAAGACCAGTGAAGGTGCTTACGCGGCCATTCAAGTCGAGCTCGTCTTATTTTCAGAGTTCCACATACCTTTTCACAAGTCTTCTTCCATACAATCCAGCATCCCGCAGGCGTCTCTTGATGGCATCTGTATATGGCAGCGACTTCGCCGTCGTCGATATTTCGACCATTATATCGGAAGATGCTCGTCTGGAATCTTGGGTTGACGCACAAAAGATCTTCCTATCTGCAATTCGTGGCCTTCTCGAGCTGGCTTGTTTGATTAGGCCTGTGAAAGACGGGTGTGGTGCGATTCACGCGTCAATAGAATGAGGTCATCGAACAAAACGCGCTAAAACATCATGCCTGCCAACATAATGGACGAAATAAGAACTTATAAGTAAAGTAAGTCAAAAAATGATCAACTATGCACGTTTACAGGAAAAATGAGTTTTTAGGGTCAAAAAGTACGAAGTTATTCTTGTTTTGAACGTTTAACAAGTAAATTGTTGAACTATGAAGTGGATTCGTAAACTCAAAGGGGCTTTATTGCCATAGTAAAGAGATTTGCTCTAACTCATGGTGAAGCCGTGGATTACTGCAAATCTTATTCTTATTCTTCTTATCTTATCTCCACAAAAAGGTACTGAAGCGATGCTGCGTGCGCGAGACCTCTAATGGGGTCACGCGTGAATCGCGCGCCCTCCGTGAAAGACTCAACACCCGATGGCCTTCGTAATCGTAGACATTGGTACAGGAAACAGCCTTGTATGTTGAGCATGGGTCAATTCCTGCTTACTGCCCGTGGCAACAGCGGAGAGCTGCTCCATGGTTAGAAAGCAAGAGCCAGAGTTTCTTCTCTTCGCTGAGAGCGATAAGCTAACAGAGCGAAAGAATCACCGGCATTTCTAGACTCAAAAAAAACACAGTGAAACCAATGAACACAATGAACCTAAAGAACATGCCCCTTTCGCACGTTTTTTGAAAAAAATTCACCCGTTTGGCCGGAGGTGAGCTACCGCCGATTCTGCATCGCAGGAGAGTCGGTAATATTTGAAAAGTGTGCTGTCAAAAAATCAAAAAGAAAGATTGAGTTCGAGATGAGCTATGGCAGAGAAGCTTATAGTGATTTCTTTTTGAACGGTACTGTACATGGAAACGCATGACTTGAAGGCACTTAAAAATGGTTTGTTAGATTTCCCCTCAGAATTAGTCAGTGGTCCCCAAGGTTACAGGAAGGATGCCGTAGGGCCCAAAAATTCAAGAGCTGGTGCATAATAGGAGCCCCATTACCGGATCGACCGGATGCAAGTCCTTCGACCGATATTATGTCAGACGAGTGTTGAAGTTATACGCACTACGACCTACACGCTCATGATGCAATGAACTGGTCACCGAGTGGTGAAGTGATGTTTTACTCATATTCTATTATTCTCTGCTATTCTTTTTGTTGCTGCGGTCCTTTATCCTGTTTTCTACCTTAAGCGAATGGAAGGTTAATTTTGCTGCTAATATGTAGTTTTTTTGTCAATTCATGCTCACGAGTGAATAAATTTTAAAGATTCTTGCATACTGTAGTTAGCTATTCGTACCAGGACCCACACGAAAGCAATGACTTGGGTGTGTACCGATTCGTGCGATTCTGGGCGCGCGCGGCAAATTGCGTGGCGAAATTCGGTGCGATTCGAGTGACTTTGACGCTTACTATTGAGGCACAAACTTGAAGTAAAATAGTTGGGCATGGTAAGTTGATCCCACTAATCTATTCTACTTCAAGTTTGTGCTCCAATAGTAGACGTTAGTGTCGTTCGAATCATCATCATTTCCGTCGTTATAGTTGAATTGTGAAATTCAGTCTTTTTTACCCTTATCAACAGTCTCGTTATCCATATTATAGTGGAGATGAGTTAGAATAGTAAAAATTAGTAATTTAACCTTATTAATAACACTGACTAGAAAATCACTACTACAGGTTAACTTAATTAGTTGTTTAGTATTTTTATATGGGATACTTTTGAGAAGTCTGAAGTAACCCATGGAGGAGAAGTTATTTTCTTCCTCCGTGAAAGTCTTTAGAACTCTATCAAATCCTCCCCTTTCCCTTTCTTTTTGCGTTTTTTACTACCTCTGTTTGTTCTAAGTTCGGTAATTTTGAATGGACAAATAGGAGGGTTCGATTTGAATATATTAGATGTAACCCTCTAACCCATTGACGACCATGCAGTCCACATGTGGACTGCAGTTGTATTTTTTGTTTTATTCGTCTAAATTTCTACTTTCTCTCAATTCTTCTTCTCAGAACATTACATCAGGCCTAAATGAAACTAAATACAGCGTGGTACTAGAAAATCTTTTGGTTTTGCGATTGTAAAGATTTTTTTCGAAGGAGTACATTACCTTGGTGAATTTTTCATTCGTTGAACAACTTCAAAAAATGGGACATTTTGAAAAGAGGGTCGTCATCAGCATTTCCAAATGCGAAGCTCGACAAAGTTCCCCGAAACGATTTCTGGTAATGATTAACCCTTTGGCGACCGTGCCTTTTACGTTGTCCTTACATTAACTTTTAATTTCTCTTATAACTGTAGTTGGAAGTGAATGATTTCTGGACCACGATGCCTCAAAATTTTCTAGAAGGTTGCGAGCTAAGCTTATACTTGAAAACATGAAAAAAAATTATAAGAACGCTTGATAAATAATATAAATACTACAGGGGCACGATATGGTGTGGCCCGCCGGCGGTATTAGGTATTAGTATTAACCCCGGGTCAATGGGTTAATACTGTCATTAAGTCCAAAGTGGTATGATGTTGTGAGGAGTTTAATCCAAAAACAATTCTTTATCAAAAAGTATGAAATTATCTTCTCCGTGAAGCGAATTTAAAATTTAACCTTATATCCTCCTTGGCGCTCTAAGAAGTGCTCACACAACACAGTCTTCTTCTCATGACTATTAATATAATCTGAATATTCTCCTATTCTCCCTTCAAGTTTTTTAGTAGTCATTCCTACGTATTTTATTTCACATCGTATACATGTTAGCCAATAGTTAGCATTTCTAGTGTTACCATTTGCTTCTCTACTTTTATAGTGTTGATACGTAACCCTGTAACTTTAGAGTGAATATTATTGTTGTTGTCAGTAATGTTGCACATTCTACATTGTTTTTGACAAGTAGTACTCTTTTCTGTGTTACCGAAGTTTGTAAAAAATAACAAAAAAAATAACCGCACTTCTTACCTTTGTGAATTTATTGTTGAGATAATAGGCTTGACTTGCATTGTTGACCTTCTAAGCGTCAGGGTGGTCCTTCCCTTACGCAGAAAGATCTGCGGATCCTGACGGTTCGGCAGGGCTGCTGCCAGGGGTTGGCACATCCTTTGGAAGGCCCCCTCTTACGCCCCTCGCAACGTTCAAGTGGAGGAAAGTGCTGGAAGCGCGGGAGAATTACGGAGCAAGCCCCGCACTAATCATTTGGTCATTCATTTGTGCTTCGTTCGTCCGTGCTTCTGCTTCCTTATCGTGTCGTCCCGCGGAGCGCTACGTAACACCGTCGTCACACCTCATTGTCGTCAGCATGCTGTATCGGGCACGACACCGTACGGCTCTATTTAGTCCTCTGTTTTACCGGCCACCTCTACTTCTACTCTCTTGTCTCACCTCCTGTCTCACCCCATTTATCCACCACGTCTTTGTGGCACTCATTTTTCACATATCGGATTTATCGTTACATGAACTCATGAAGAAAGCTTGGATTTCTA